CCCCAAAACCCCAAAACCCCAAAACCCCAAGAGTTTAAAGTTAAGTAAATTAGTGAAATTTGCTTTCTGTATATTGATTAATTTATATGGGTAATACCTAGGTTGAAAGATAATACGCAGTATTTAGAACAGACAAATAGCCACTGCAAGGCCATTCTCCAGAGCTTGTGTATGTTTCTGAAATTCAATAATCCCATAATAAATATATGATTGAATTAATTCTTATTTCCAAAATAGATGTATCTAAAATTAGGATGATCCAGACAGATAAACTCCAGATGACTATTTTGGTTGCACTACATTCTGGGACATCTATAAATAGGGTGTTTAAAAATTTTCAAACAACAAGTTTTTGGGGACAAGAAATCCAAACAAAGAAGGAAAACCTTATGAATGGAAGACTTTCAGAGAAGTATATGATTTGATGGATCTAGCAGCCAGAGGAATAGCAAGCCTCAATTTATCTCCAGAAATAGAGACAGAAGGGAAAAGCTGGAAATTTTTAGGAATCCATTCAAGAAATAGAGAAGAATGGACAGTAATGAACCTTGCATGCCTCAGGTCTGCTATTACGATCGTACCGTTTTTCGATAGTTTAGGGAAAGATGCTTTGTCTTTTGTAATCAACTAGGCTGAACTTTAAACTATGTGTATTGAGTCTAAGAATTTCGAGAACCTAATCAGCTTGTAATAAAATGGAGTAATACCTTCATTGAAAAACATTGTCATATTTGAAGGTGTGACCATTACACAGAGATAAAGAGCTGAATCTCAAGGTATCAGAATCTTATCATTCCAGGATGTTCTGCATGCTGGAGAGATTCACAAAGAAGTTGTATTGAATGAGCCTAAGTCTGACTCAATCTATATGTTCATCTACACCTCAGGCACTACTGGTGATCCCAAGGCAGCTATGATATCTCATAGAAATCTTATTGGAATGATGCATCACATGGACTACAATGATTAGATGAATGGATCATCTATCATTGAGACTGACGTTTGTATGTCATATCTACCTTTAGCTCATTCATTTGAACAAGGAACTTTGCTTGTATCTTTAAATAGAGGATACTCACATGGATTTTACTCAGGCGATCCATTAAAATTGTTTGAGGACATTCAAGAACTTAAACCTACTTACATTGCTGCAGTCCCAAGAATTCTAACTAGAGTATACTAAAAGATTATGGATGGTGTCAATGCAAAGGGAGGTGTAGCCAAGTGGCTCTTTGAAAAAGCTGTAAGTGATAAGATTGCCACTTACCAATCAAGTGGCCAGTTGACTCATAAGTTCTACGATAAAGTAGTCTTCAAAAAGGTGAAAGACATCTTTGGTGGAAATCTAAGAATAATGCTCAGTGGCTCTGCTAGTCTTGATGCTAAGGTCCTCCTCTTCTTTAGGGTTGCTTTAGGCTTTTACGTATTTGAGGGCTATGCTCAGACTGAAACTACTCTTTGCGGAACCATAACTTCTATGCATGATTATACTACTGGTAATGTCGGTACTTGCAGTAGTGTGAACAAATTGAGACTCAAAGATGTCCCTGAAATGAACTATTATCATACCGATAGCCCACCAAGAGGAGAACTGCAAATCAAGGGTGCAGGAAACATTATTGGGTATTTCAAGAATGAGGAAAAGACAAAAGAATTAATCAGTGAAGACGGATGGTTAAGCTCAGGTGATGTTGTAGCGATTCTTCCAAATGGAAATGTTCAAATCATTGATAGAGCCAAAAATATCTTCAAACTCTCCTAAGGAGAGTATATTGCTCCAGAGAAACTTTAAAATATCTATGCTTAGTCTGTATTCATTCAGTAGATATATGTTCATGGTGATTTGAAAAGAGAATATCTTGTGGCTGTGGTCGTACCTGACCCAGATTCTATAAAGAGAACTGCTACGTCTAAAGGTATAGCAACAGATGATTACAACTAGTTATTAAATAACTCTGATATCAAGAAAGTTATTCTTGATGAAATGAACAAAATGGCAACTAACTTTAGCTTGACTGGTTTGGAGAGAATCAAGAAAGTTCACCTGACCAGCACTACTTTTAACACCGAAAATGATCTAGCAACTCCCACAATGAAAGTTAAAAGATTCAATGTCAAGAAGTACTTCGAAAAGGAACTTGAGGAGCTTTATATTGATTGAATCCTTTCAAAATTTAAAGTAGAAAAAATTATCAACTTATCTTTAATTTATTAACCTCAATTTAATCTGTATCTAATACTATAGGGGTTTTGGGGTTTTGGGGTTTTGGGGCCCCAAAACCCCAAAACCCCAAGCAATCATATTCTAAATTTTAATAGCTAAGAGTTAAATCAATTAGTGATATTCGCTATTCTTGATATTAATTAATTTATATGGGAAATACTTAGATTGAAAGATAATACGCAGTTTTTAGAACTGACAAATAGCCACTACCAGGTCATTCTCCAGAGCTTGTGTAAGTGTATAAAAATCAATAATTTAATTAGATGTATCTTAAACAAGGATGATCCAGACAAATAAACTCCAGAGGATTATTATGGTTGCGGTACATTTTGGGACATCTATAAATAAGGTGTTTGAAAGTTTCCAAACAACAAATTTCTGGGAACTAGAAATCCAAACAAAGAAGGAAGACCTTATGAATGGAAAACTTTCAGAGAAGTATACGATTTGATGGATTTAGCAGCCAGAGGAATAGCAAGCCTCAATTTATCTCCTGAAATAGAGACTGAGGGGACAACCTGGAAATTTTTAGGAATCCATTCAAGAAACAGAGAAGAATGGACAGTAATGAATCTTGCCTGCCTCAGATCTGCCATTACGATCGTACCTTTTTTCGATAGTTTAGGGAAAGATGCCTTGTCATTCGTAATCAACCAGGCTGAACTTTAAACTATGTGCATTGAGTCTAAAAATTTTGAAAATCTTATAAACTTGTAACAAGATGGAAAGATACCATCATTGAAAAGCATTGTAATCTTTGAAGGTGTGACAATAACATAAAGATAAAGAGCTGAATCTTAAGGTATCAGAATCTTGTCATTCCAGGATGTTTTACATGCTGGAGAAATCCACAAAGAAGTTGTATTGAATGGGCCTTTACCTGACTCAATCTATATGTTCATTTACACCTCAGGTACTACTGGTGATCCTAAAGCAGCAATGATATCTCATAAAAATCTTATTGGAATGATGCATCATATGGATTACAACAATTAGATGAATGGAGCAACTCTAACTGAGACTGATGTATGCATGTCATATCTACCTTTAGCTCATTCATTTGAGCAAGGAACTATGCTTGTATCTTTAAATAGAGGATACTCACATGGATTTTACTCAGGAGATCCATTAAAATTGTTTGAAGATATGCAAGAACTTAAACCTACTTACATTGCTGCAGTCCCAAGAATTCTAACTAGAGTATACTAAAAGATTATGGATGGTGTCAATGCAAAGGGAGGTGTAGCCAAGTGGCTCTTTGAAAAAGCTGTAAGTGATAAGATTGCTACTTACCAATCAAGTGGCCATTTGACTCATAAGTTCTACGATAAAGTAGTCTTCAAAAAGGTGAAAGACATCTTTGGTGGAAATCTAAGAATAATGCTCAGTGGCTCTGCTAGTCTTGATGCTAAGGTCCTCCTCTTCTTTAGGGTTGCTTTAGGCTTTTACGTATTTGAGGGCTATGCTCAGACTGAAACTACTCTTTGCGGAACCATAACTTCTATGCATGATTATACTACTGGTAATGTCGGTACTTGCAGTAGTGTGAACAAATTGAGACTCAAAGATGTCCCTGAAATGAACTATTATCATACCGATAGCCCACCAAGAGGAGAACTGCAAATCAAGGGTGCAGGAAACATTATTGGGTATTTCAAGAATGAGGAAAAGACAAAAGAACTAATCAGTGAAGACGGATGGTTGTGCTCAGGTGATGTCGTAGTAATTCTTCCAAATGGAAATGTTCAAATTATTGATAGAGCCAAAAATATCTTCAAACTCTCCTAAGGAGAGTATATTGCTCCAGAGAAACTTTAAAATATCTATGCTTAGTCTGTATTCATTCAGTAGATATATGTTCATGGTGATTTGAAAAGAGAATATCTTGTGGCTGTGGTCGTACCTGACCCAGATTCTATAAAGAGAACAGCTACCTCTAAAGGTATAGCAACAGATGATTACAACTAGTTATTAAATAACTCTGATATCAAGAAAGTTGTTCTTGATGAAATGAACAAAATGGCAACTAACTTTAGCTTGACTGGTTTGGAGAGAATCAAGAAAGTTCACCTGACCAGCACTACTTTTAACACCGAAAATGATCTAGCAACTCCCACAATGAAAGTTAAAAGATTCAATGTCAAGAAGTACTTCGAAAAGGAACTTGAGGAGCTTTATATTGATTGAATCCTTTCAAAATTTAAAGTAGAAAAAATTATCAACTTATCTTTAATTTATTAACCTCAATTTAATCTGTATATAATACTATGGGGTTTTGGGGTTTTGGGGTTTTGGGG